CATCTGATAGGGGCGTCGCCCATGGGTGGGGGGGGGGGGGGCAAAATGCCTCTATAGCCCCCCTTGAAATTTTCAAAAAAAACCATCCCCATAGGGGTTTTCTTGGAGTACGAAGATGAAACGTCACACCACGTCAGGGTTAACTTACTCTGAGTTTGCACATAACCGCTTCAGTGATGCGTGCTGCTGGCCCCCCACGGTGGCGCGGGAGAGCGAGGGCCCGGTCACAGCTGCTTGCAGCTTTAATTTTTATTGGGATAGAATTGCTCTGTTTGATGACATTGAATTAGCTTGGGATTATTTTTGTAAAAATTTCATTGGTTTTGTAAAATAAACATGCCCCTCTCCGTACATTTCGAATCAAAGGACATAATAATCCCTGGTTCACATCCGACCCGGCAGATATACTGCATGAATGTAATACTGCATGGGCTAGGGCACACAAATCTAATATTGAATCTTATAAGTCATATTGTCAATGCGCGTCTTCTGCCTCCATTTCCTTCATGAGTCTCGAGCTCAGTGTCGTGTACGGATTTAAGATGTGGGCCCAAACTACACGTAACATGATTTGTTTCTTCGGGACACATTGCATACGTACAACCGTATTGCCATGCGCAGTCCCCCGTTACTCCAGCCAAGCTTCCACCCACACCTTGCTTCAGTCCCTGGATATGCTTCAACCTCCGCCTCGTCATCGTCCTCATCACCACAGGCCTCCACATGGAGCGGCCACCACTCTCAGCTGACTGGTCTCTACTTGCAGCCGGTGTCCACCCCGAACCAGTGCTTCATTCTGCCTCAAGCCTCTCCAGCCCTGGAGCTCCCGAATCCCTCACGGCAAGAGAGCCGGCGGTTGCCCGCGTTTAAATGGGGAAACAATTACTGTAATACTGTAATAGCAGCAGGCCTCGATTTTCGGCTCACTGGGTTTCATCAAAGTAAGCATATTAAGCAGGCACACTATGCCCTCTGTTCTCAATCATATTCGCTTTAAGATAAGCAACTTTTCCCTCTTCATCAGGCCGCTATCTTACCACACTTCCTGTATCATTTCAAATCATAAGCCCTTCAGCGATTCTCCAGTGTGGGTTTTTTACAGGTGACTGAGAATATACTTCTAGCACAATCAATTAAAAACGCATCATCGTAGCACTCGTATTTACTCACATTCCCTTTCTTTCAGGAAACACAGCTTTGTTTGCATGCGTGTGTATGCACGTGCTCTCACACTTACCTCTGTGACCTCCTTCAGGAACACCCCCTCCCGCACCCTCCGCCCAACCTCTGCCGGACTCCTCATTATCCCCACCTCACGCCTCAGTACCATGGGTGCCTGAGCCTTCAGCCACAGCACCCAGACTCTGGAAGCCCCCCCCCCTCCCCACACACACATAAGACAGTCAGACTCATCACATCATTTAAATCCCAACTCAAAACCCACCTGTTCAAACTGGCATATTCACTCTAACTGGACACTGTGCACTACACTTGTTCTTATGTTGATGTTTTGCTTCAGTGATGTCTTACTGATCTTTTTCTTCCATGCTCTGTAGGTGACCTTGGGTGTCTTGAAAGGTGCCTCCAAATACAATGTATTATTATTATCATTATTATTATTATTATTATTATTATTATTATTATTATCATATGCACAGTAATACAGAAGCAGCCATTGGCACGTTAAGAAAGGGGCAGTAAGCACTGCAGGGCTCCTGTTTAGTGAGATTTATTTCACCCAGAAGTGACGATGTTTTGAACCACACATCGTGGTCATGACGGCTGGGACTCAATCATCTGGTTTGCTCTATTCTATTCTATTCTATTAAAGAGGTCCTTGCGATAGCAGCTCCGTCCAGGCGGCGCTCCAGGCCATTTTCTCAACCCTTGTGCTATTTTATAATTGTCATGTTTCCAGTCTGTCTGCAGTTCAGTGGTATGCACACTGATCAGTTCTGGTAATCACAGTTCCCAGTCGTAAATGGTCTAATGTAATTCGAGCTGTCCTTCACAATTATATCCATCACAGATTCACCATTCATGAGGTCATCCATGAATCGGGCCTGGAACATGCCTCAATCCCCGTCATGCAGAGCAGTATGCAGGGCAGCCTCTAATCAGCCCGATCTTTTCCCGTTTTCATGCTTTTTAAGGACATGCATAGTAGTCGTTAACTCATTTGAGCTCAGCAAGTAGCCATGTGATCGCCCTCTCATGCACATGGCATCTTTGCGCCATGACGCTCCGTTCGTATTTAGCAGTGATCCAGAGCATCATTCGTCGACTGCCTACAGGGGAAATGTAGCCGGTCAACATACACTCAAAGATGCCCATGCAATCTAATCCTTTTAGTGACACTTGTCCAGTTCAGTGGTAGGGCTTTATCATAGGATCCACTACATCTAATTGGGCAATAATCTTGATCCACTTATTGTTGAGATAGATGCATCTAGCTTTGCATTTCCCAATCAGTGTTGGTAATATCTATTAAGGCTGAGCAAGACAGGGAGGAAGAAAATAAATAAATTAATTAATTAATCTCTTTATTTACAGGGTCGCAAGTTAAGCCACGTTCGAGATGTCACAAGCAATTTAAATAAAAAAAATAAATAAATAAATAAAATAAAATAACATACAAAGACAGGGATATTATCCTCTTTTGAAAACATGCAGCAGCACAATGTTACTCCTCAAACACACTAGTCAGCAGCGGGGCCCCTTGGAGTGCTGCTAAACATGACTGGTTCAAGACACAAATGCATCATGTTAATGTTTAGCACAAGCTAGGGCATTTTAAATTGCATTAAGTAGCCTCGCGGCTGGCAGACTCTCCCCTACTCACGCTAAACCTGGGCAAACACAAACACCTAACTATGTAATTCTACCAAATAAAACCAGTAGCATGGCCATCTGACCTTTTCAAGCTGTTCTGGCCATTGGTGACCCTATGTCAATCATCATAATCTCAACTGCCACGATAACTGCCAGGGCAGAATTTTTGAGCTGGTAGCAAGTACCCACTGATTTTTTGGGGGAGCTAGGTATGGTTCCTTTTTAGCACCTTTTCATAAATCAAATTTCTGCTTCCCATTTTCTCACTTAGTCATTCATATAGCTGGTGGTGGTCTTTTCGTAGTTTCCTCTTCTGCTACCTTCAATCAAATCCCAGTTATGGTTTGTCCTATTGCCCACCTTTATATTTGATGGAGCCACAGTCATGCTTCAGCCATTTGCCATTTCTGTTTGGTTATCTTATTGCTATGGCATCATTGCTGACCTGAAATTTGCTTGTTGTTCAGTCTTATGTTCCTTGCACTCGTTCATGTTTCCAATTCCGTCTGCCTCAGTTTGGTTAGGATGGCTGTCATTTATCCCACGTTCCCTCAATACCCATGCTCTACGCGTTCTCATGCCGTTTGCTCAGTCATCTGTGGCCCTCTAACTACATGCTGCATGCACGAACACCTGCTCATCCGCTACTGCTCACCTATATTTTTATAATCCTCAATCATGCATCACCCATGAATATTCCATTTTGGTTATATAATCACAATTTCTATCTGCTGATTCTCTATCTGCTGGTCCTGGGATATATTCTGCTGTACCCATTTATTCAAGTTGGCCGTGAATTATTGCAGTTCTACTGGTTCATTTCCATTTACCTTGTTCGCCTTATCATGCTGCTCACTCATTTACATGGTCTTCGGGGCCTCATGCAAATGCACTATCATGGTTTGTGGGACCTCATGCTGTATGCACTAACATCCGTGGTCTTTGGGACCTCATGCAAATGCCCCATCATGGTCTGTGATTGGCAGTGTAGAAATTGATGCCAGTGACAAACTTCCATTTAGAAATCTGTTTTAGACAGTACTGAGCACCAATTGCGATATAAGAGTGATAAATTATGCCAGATTTTGCAGTTCAACAGCCACATTTTAAGTGCTGATATGTCCGATTTCCACATAGCACTGTGAACGCAGCGTAATATTTGTTATGATTTCCCAAAACTTAGTTAACATTTCTCACCTGTGTGCTGGATGTATGGGCTCCAGCAGATTGACCCGACCGACCGGACGCCATCATCTCAAGCTAATTGGACACTACGCTGTGTTCACAGTGCTATGTGGATATCTGACATATCAGCACTTAAATTGTGGCTGTTGAACTGCAAAATCTGGCATAATTTATCTCTTTTATACCGCAATTGGTGCTCAGTACTGTCTAAAACAGATTTCTAAATGGAAGTTTGTCACTGTCATCAATTTTTACACTGCCAGTCACATGAATATGGTGTATATAAGTGTTGAGTTGGAATTTTTTTAGTTCCTACGTTCCCTGAAGGCACTGTCACTCATGATTCCACACCCCTCTCAGTTGATGCCTCGCCCCCCACGCCATATCAGGGTCAAAAGTCTGAAACTCAAAAAACCGATTTGAACAAAAATAGATTTGAAACTGAAAAAAAAAGATCTAAAAGTGGAAAAAAAAGATTTGTAAGTGAAAAAAATAAGATCTGAATCTGAAAAGATAAAACATAACTGAAAAAATAAGACCTCAAATGTTAAAATATATATGGAAGTGAAAAGTGAAAATAAATTATTCATTCAAAAGAATTATCAAAGTGAATCAAAATTTTATTTTACCTGAAAAAACGTTTCATTTACTTATTTTTATTTTGAATACATTGTTGTATTTTTCAAAATTCAAGATCAACACATGAATTTTCAGTTTCAAATTTTATTTTTTCAAGTATAAAACATTTGACCCTAATGTAGCTCCATACCCCTGCAGATAATTTGTCTCCTGGTTAAAAACCTCCTGAACAGCGAACACGGAAGGAGTCCTAACTGGGATTTCACACTTGGCACATGGGAGACCTTTCAGCTGGCTGCAATCTGCAGTCCTCATGGCTAGATACCACTAAACCCTACACACTGCTACTTAACGCTCCTCAGTGCTTGCAGTCGCAATGAATACAAATCACATTTTTCCATTTCCAATCTAGTTTTATTGTATAACTTATTACTAAAATTCAGTTTTAAAGCACAAAAAATATCAAGTGTAATCTCATTGTATTAGACACTGATCAGAACTTAATGCCTTTGTATGCTAATGTGAAGAAAATTGAAGAGGCTCTGAGTCTTCACGCCCAGCTGTGCTTGGCATGGAGCATCTCAGTGAGCAGGTTGTTGCAGGGCACCTCACCACTCAGGTGTTTGCAATACAGGTAGTCTTCGGCGAAGGAGCTGAGACAGCGTAACTCAGACAAACAAAGCAGCAGATGAGCAAAGTGTCCAGGAGGGTGAGAGGATGTGCACAGTGTGTACTCGAGCAGGGCTCCTTCAACCTGCTCCTGCACACTCTCTATTAACTGATGGTCTTCGAGTGGTGTCACATCTGGTTGGTGGAGCATAGGGAAAGCAACAACCAATGAATTTACACAGAGCAAAAGTTGTCAAACATTTTCATATCAGAAGTAGCCTACCACTCCTGTTAAATTGTTCTTCTTCATCTGTAACTAGCATCACAGCTCTATAATAATAACATTCCTGGAACCACAACAGTTACAGCTTGAGTTATCTAGACAGCTGCTTTTTGACCAAAAATAATTTTTTGAAACAAATAGTTAACAAAAACAAATTGTCCTCTTCACTTGTTGTATCTCAAGCATTAGATGTCACTAGTCATCATAACTGAAGCTGTACATAGGTTGAAACAGCTGTTTAAAAAATAATAAATAATGCAGGTTTCATCTTCATGGTTCCTGGGCCATCAGAGAGTACTACTTCAAGAGGAGGGACATAGTATTTGACAGCTATGGCTGAGGAACTACATTAGAAGCCTCTCCAAAACCAGACCCTACCCACTCCTATTCTGTCATGGACTGTAAGGCCCAATCCCAATTCCTGTCTTAACCCTCAATCTTAACCCTCAGTCTCAAAAATCCGCGCTCCCGTGAAGTGCTAGTGCTGTCCCAATTCTCAGAGTGTTGAGTTGAGGGTCAAGAATAAGGGCTGTATGGCCCTCACTTTTAAGATTTTCCAGGACCAGCCTTGGCAATAAGTGCTATCCCAGAATCCTTTGCGTATCATCCGCCGAGCTCAGCCGAACACGGCCGAGTACAGACGATTCAGTCAATGCAAGATGATGGCGACAAGCGTAAGGAAGCAGAGTTATCAATGAGTATTTTCCTCGTTAATAGTTGTATTAAAATTATGATAACCATTGCATTATCTTAGTTTAACGTCATTTTATGGATTATAGACCTCTTTGTAGCGTAACACACATATTTTTGGTCATGGGCGACGGCTTGCCTGCCCCGCCGCACGTAACCCCGGTTCTCTGATAACCGAGTATGCTGTCATTCAGTTACAAAAAGTCATTTTTCTCAGTGATAATGTAGTTGTTAAGTTGTTTTAATATACGTGAAATGTTTTCATCTACATTTTTGTAAGATGACCGGACAGTGTCATCTCCTGTAGCTGTAGAGTCTGCAGCTGGTAATGTTACAGCTGCAGCTTAACGTTAGTGATAAGGGATGCACCGAATATTCGGTAACCGAATATATTCGGCCGAATATTGCAAAAAAAAACACACATTTGGTATTTGGTGGAATAAGTTAAAAGCAAGGCCGAATAATAGCGGCGTGTTTTGATAACGCAATCAAACGGCGTGCCGTGACGGGAGGAATAAAATGTCGGTAGTGTGGCGATCCGTCCGTCACGGCACTCGCATTTGTGACTAAAAATAGTTTTGAGCGAGCAAAATAGGCTTAAATCACGCTGTGCGAGCAGCCTACAGATTTCAACCAGCAGCAGAAACGAAACGCGAATCCCACCGATTGTGGGTTGAACGGGGGTCACAGACAGACAGTCATGTATTCCTGTCAATTACGGCGGCCATCGGCTTACCGGCGACGGATAAGTCGGTTCCAATAATATCCTCTTCTTGGTGTCATGACTGCCCAGAAGTACCTGAACAGCCGAGCCAGCCGAACACAGGTATGTGACGTGTCAGAGGAGAAACGAGCCGTTCACATTTCTCTCTTTCTGGCAGTAACGGCCCACAAACCTCACCACACTTTAGGGACTGTTCTTTACTTATGAAGGGACTGTCAGGGGAGGAGGGTGGCTGGTTGATTTTTATTTTATTTATTTATTTTATTTTATTTTGATCCCCCCTATGTTAATCACTGATTGATGCTGTTT